TTCTCGTTAAAAGTATAATGATAATTATAAAGTAACTAAACTTTTATTAAATTCCTAATCTTAGTTACTTTAGGAAAAATGTGAAAATGGTGCGATTCCATGAAATTGCACTTTGCTAAGTCGTTAGTGGAGCGTGTGTGGTTAACCGGCACACTAATCTGGGACTGGCAAGTGTGGAAAAGGGTAGATTGATGTTAATCATAGATCAATGGAGCGTGTGTGGTTAACCGGCACATTGATTAGGTGACTTGTAACATTAAGAGTACCAAGCACATTTGCATGGTTATTCACACCTTGTTTGTGATCCTCAGTATCCCAGTCACAAACTTGAAAGGCACAATCGAGATTTAAACATGCCATTGAAAAGTTCAATGAATCTCAAAGGAATCTAGGAGTTTCAATCCAATTAAAACTTAATAATCAATTTCGTTTTTCATGGTGGAAATTGGTAAATCGTCATTTACCTACCTTCAAAAAATATTTTGCAATTGGATTACGGCATCCCTCTTCCGAATTGTAAAATATTGTGTTGGGTCCTAGCCTTAATATTTCATTTGGGTGTTATATTAAGGATTCTCATCTAATCTAAACTTTGTTCTTTTTCTTTTCCGATGTCTATCCCAAACAATGCTTCAGGTTCAAACCCTTCTAGCTCATTCTCCCTCATTAATTTGGTTGGGAGAACTATCTTCGATGGGTCAAACTTTAACGATTGGATAAGAAACATTCGTATGGCCCTTCGCTATGAGGACAAAGAATATGTCCTAGATAAAGAGCTGAAGGGGATTGATGAACAAACTGCTACTCCCGAACAAATCGAGGAATACAGGGTTCATGAGAGGGACGCGACAAAGGTGTCGTGTATAATGATCGCAACCATGACTGCTGAGCTTCAAAAGTCCTATGAGGACTTGTGGCCCTACGAAATACACCAAAGATTTCATGGAAATGTACCATCAAAGTGCTCGGCAGGAGAGGTATGATATCATTGCCTCCATGATCACAACCAAGATGAAGGATGGAGAGTCCATCACGACCCACATGCAAAAGATGTAGAGATATGTGGACCGCTTGTTGAAGTTGAATGTGAACTTCGATGAAGAGTTGGCCATTGATATCATCCTACACTCGTTGCCTTCTTGTTATGATCAGTTCCGCATGACCTATCATATGAACAAGGAGGAGGTCACTCTTAGCAAGCTTCAAGGCCTTCTTAGAACTGCAAAAAGCAACTTGAAAGGCAAGTCGGTTGTACCTACTCCTACTACTGTTGCTGCCCCTGTTCTGGCAATCGGACATGGGAAAGGGAAGAAGAGGAAGGCTCCTTCTAAGAGCCGCAAGGGAAAGTCTCTTGATGGATCCTCTTCTAGTGGGACCAAAGCTAGTTCTACTAATCCCTCTACCAATCCCAAGGATGCAGAGTGCTTCCATTGTCATGAAAAAGGGCACTGTAAATGAAGTTGCTCCAAATACTTGCAGGACTTAAAGGATGGGAAGATAAAGCCCACCTTTGTAGGTATTTACACTATTATGTCTAATAACTCATCACATGCTAATTCTTGGGTCCTTGATACAGGTTGTGGTATTCACATTTGTTCTTATATGCATGGACTAAAATGAAGTAGAGATGTGGAGCACGGGAAGATAAACTTAATCATGGGGAATAGGAAAATGTCGCTTGTGACCAAGATTGGAGTTTACTCTTTACTGCTTAGTAATGAGTTAAATTTAGATTTGAATAATTATTGTTACTCGTCAGATATGACGAGAAATATTATTTCCTTTCACAGTTTGTATAAACAAGTTTTTACCTTTTCTTTTAATAATGAAAGTGGCGGTATCAATGCTTATTATAATGGTGTTTTTTTATTTTGAAGCATTACCTTGTAATGGTATATATGAAACTGTGATGGTTGTAGATAACCTAGGAAATAATGTGTTGAATATTGATTCGTCCAATGTTTTGGACAAGGCATGCTTGTGGCATTGTCGTCTTGGACATGTCAACAACAAGCGCATAGGCCAACTCCAAAAGGCTGGAGTCTTGGAGTCATTCGACTTGAAATCGGATGACACTTGCGAATCTTGTTTACTTGGGAAGATTACCAAGTCACCCTTCACTGGTACTTGTGAAAGGGGTGAGGGTTTGTTGGAACTCATACACACAGATGTGTGTGGACCCTTCAGAACCGCCACAAAGGATGCTAACCGCTTCTATGTGACTTTTACTGATGATTATAGTAGATATGGGTATATTTACTTAATCAAGAATAAGTCAGAAACTTTTGAAAAGTTCAAAGAGTTTAAACAAGAAGTGTAGAATCAATTGGGCAGGAAGATAAATATGCTGCGATCCGATCGAGGAGGAGAGTATTTTAGTATCGAGTTCCTAGACTATCTTAAGGAATGTGGAATTATTTCACAGTTGACGCCACCCAGGACACCACAGCTTAATGGTGTGGATGAGATGCGCAATCGAACCTTGTTCGACATGGTTCGTTCCATGATGAGTCGAGCTTCGTTACCTATCTCATTCTGGGGGTATGCCTTAGAGACTGCCGCCCATATCCTTAATCTAGTCCCTACTAAGAAGGTTGCCAAAACACCTCACGAGATGTGGACAGGGAAGGTTCCCTCGTTAGATCACATCAAATTTTGGGGTTGCGAGGCTTTTGTGAGAAAAGAAACTCACGACAAGCTCAAACCTCGTAGTGAGCGATGTATTTTCATCGGCTACCCACAAAAATCATTTGGATATCTCTTCTACAGACCGAGTGACAATGTTGTCTTCGTTGCGAGGAGAGGAGTCTTGAGAGAGAGAGAGAGAGAGAGCTCATATGCCAAGAGGACAGTGGGAGGCAAATTAACCTTGAAGAGCTTCAAGAGTTAAGTGATGAAGGAACCTCAAACACTAGCGCTCAACCTGAGGAGGAAACTCATGTTGAACCTATTGACGAGTCATTACCTCTTCGACGTTCCTCTCGAGTTAGGATGGCACCTGAGTTTTATGGTTTTCATATTACTAATGAAGGTGATACGTTTATCAGTGATAACACACTGTTAAATTTGGATGAACCATCTAACTACAAGGAAGTCATGGCAGGCCCCAAGTTTGCTAAATGGAAAGAGGCAATTGACAGCGAGATTCAGTCCATGTATGACAATCAAGTTTGGAACTTGGTTGACAATGTACCGGGTCGTAAGACAGTCGGGTACAAATGAATCTTCAAGAAGAAGACCGACATGGATGGGAAAGTACACACATATAAGGCGCGACTGGTTACGAAGGGCTTTACTCAAACTCAGGGAGTTGACTATGATGAGACCTTATCACCAGTAGCGAAGATTAAATCTATAAGGGTTATGCTAGCCATATCTGCATTTCATGACTATGAAATATGGCAAATGGATGTCAAAACCGCTTTCCTTAATGGAAAGTTGGATGAAGATGTTTACATGTGTCAGCCAGAGGATTTTGTCAATGCAAAGTACCCTAATAGAGTGTGTAAGCTTGAGAAATTCATCTATGGATTGAAACAAGCATCTCGCAGATGGAATCATTGCTTCGATGAGAAAGTCAAAGAGTTTGGATTTTCGAGAAGTGTGGATGAGTCATGTGTATATGTCAAAGCCAGTGGGTGTATAGTAAGCTTTCTGGTGTTGTATGTGGATGACATACTTCTCATAGGAAACGACATCCCAACCTTGCAGGAGGTTAAGTCCTGGCTTGGGAAGTGTTTTGCTATGAAGGACCTTGGAGAAGCTGCCTATATTCTAGGGATAAGGATAATGAGAGACAGGAGTAAAAGACTAATAAGACTTAGTCAAAGTACCTACTTGGACAAGGTGTTGAAGCGTTTCAGCATGGAGAACTCCAAGAAAGGTGACTTACCTATCCAAAGCAATACCAAACTGAGTAAGACTCAGAGTCCGAGTACAGAGGCTGAGATAGCAGAGATGAGTCGAGTAACGTATGCTTCCGCGGTTGGCTCGATCATGTATGCTATGACTTGTACTCGCCCTGATGTGGCCTTTGCTTTGAGAATGGCCAGTAGATATCAAGGGAATCCTGGTAAAGCTCATTGGACTGCAGTTAAGAACATTCTTAAGTACCTGCGGAGGACCAAGGACTGGGTCCCTACCCTCGGTGGGAGTGATGACTTGAGAGTGACAGGGTATTGTGATGTCGGTTGTCAGACCGATAGAGATAATTTGCGCTCTCAGTCAGGCTGGGTGTTTACCCTAAATGGAGGAGCAGTAACATGGAAAAGTTCCAAGCAGAAGATTGTGGCTGATTCAACGTGTGAATCAGAGTACATAGCAGCGAGTGAAGCATCGAAAAAGGCGATATGATTGAAGAACTTCATTGGAGACCTTGGAGTAGTACCAACCATAAAGGAGTCTGTGGAGATTTTTTCCGATAATGAAGGGGTGGTTGCCTTAACCAAGGAACCGAGAGATCATGGTAGATCCAGACATATCGACAGAAAGTACCACTTCGTAAGACATCAAGTAGAAGAAGGACACCTCTTTGTGAAGAGGATATCATCGGAGGACAACCCAACAGATCCCCTCACGAAGGGACTGAGTAGGGTTATGTAACAATTGGTAAAAATTGGTCTGAGTTCGGCGGTCAAACCACCGCGAACTGCTATGTATTATTGACCAATCGTGTGTAATTTTAAGTTTATAATGTATATTAAATATATCATATTTATAAATTCTTTTGGAACATCTTAATCTAATCAAACCATCCGTCGTAGAAGATCGAATCAAAAACCGCCAAAAATATGAATTAATTGTGACCTTAAAAATAAATTTTTGCATCAATTATATCTGAGAGTATGGATGCATTATTGTTACCAAAATACCATCACATGTATAAATATCAAATTAATGAAGTGTGTATGTATACATTATGTGTATAAAAGTATTGTTATCTATGATATATATATATATATATATATATATATATAACATTAGAAAAGCAAAGAATACTTGAGAGGTGTAATAAAAGATCTATTGGTACATGAAAGTGTCCAGCTTCTTTTCCCATTCATTCTCGATCCTCACTTTTTACACAATTACACAAATGATCATCCCAATTGCACATGTATCAAATCTTGAACCAATTGGACATTGTACTCTAAATCTCCTGCAAGATCACAAAGTACCACAAAAGTCTTCTAAAAATCTTATTTTTGATCACACAAAAATATCCTCAATCATTCACAGACTCACTCCATTCTCTCCATCTCTCTCTCACGGTGGAAGAAGAACCACCGGAATTGGAGTTTTCCGGCCATCAGAATTCATACCACCTTTGTTCTTCTTTGTTCCTTTTCCTATCAAACATCAAATTCACAACAAAGTGAATCCTTGCTTCCATTCCCTGATTAAACACCAAAACCCAAACATCAAAGTTCATCCTTGGTACCTATCAAACAAACCAGACAAACACCTCAACTATCGACAGTTACTACTTACCGGAGGTCAAAGCAGTTCCGTCGAGGACATCCTCCATCGAAGGCGACTGCTGGCGAGCCAATGCAACATCGCCGCCATCCCACCTCTTTAACTGTTTCCCCCTGGGTCTTCATTCGTTATTGTTGCTGCCTCACTTTCCTCGATTTTTGACTGGAGACGATGAAATCACGAAGGAGGAACCTGAATGGCCATCGGAGCCTCTTCTCCCCTCCGGTAGATGAAGCACCACCCAAACCCACCATCCTCTTCCTTTCCTCCCACAAATCGAAACTGCTGAACCCCCATTCACGGCGACTGACGATGTTGTCGCTCTTCTGACGGATTGTTGCCGGTGACGAGCTGCTGGGAACGAGAAGGGTTCGCCGGAAAGCAAGCTCGCAATCTCCTTCAATCGATCTTCGCAGCCCCTCCCTTTGATTCGTCGAGCACCATCACAGAACCCCCAATCATTCCACTTTTTATGCTTGCTACCAATCGAACCAGAAGAGGAAGAAGACGCCGGCGATCGCCATCGGCCGGCGCCCCTACATGTGATTTACTCGATCGTCACCGGAGATCGGACCCTTCACCCCCGCTGATTCGTTTGCTCGATCTTTTCACCGTTGCCTTGACTCGACTGGATGAACGAATGAAGAGGATGACCGCGTCGATTCCTTTTGCCCAAAATTTGGAATCAGTTGGCAAAAACAGTACCTCCATTATGGCCTTAAAGTTTAAATCAGTCCCTGAATTGAAAACCTTATAAACCAAGTCTCATGTGACTTAGACTTTACAAAAATGGTCCCTTTAGATATCATTTATTACAGATTTAGTCCCTTGAGTAAAATAAATTACAATATAGCCTTTTCTTTTAAATATAAAATAATTGAAAACGAGTCCCTTTTAGTTTAAAACTTAACCAAATAGACCCGGAAACGTTTAAGAGTCCAAGAATGGTTACGTTGCGATTTCTCGCGTAAAGCTTCACTAAAAACGAACCGGGATCGAGATCACACGTCGAATGTGAGTTTCTACGTCCCCTCTTTTACGGTTTTAATATCTGGGGGAGAATATATGTGTGTCTATTAAAGTTTGATGATTTTTAAGTTTTATATACAAAATAACATCTTACTTTGTTATTGGTCAAACATTTATGAAATAGCAATCTAAAGATGTGATAAATCACTAGCAAATCTATTAAGTTAAAGTAGATTGTTATAAGTTGATATAATTATACTTTATGTGAAATATAAATATAATTATTAAGAAAAATCACAAGATTGAAAGTATATTGCTATAATTATACAAGTGGATATTATGAGTCACAAAAATGATGACTTTACATGTATAAGATAAAGTATCTCATGGAAGCATGGAACAATATAAAAATGACCAAAATTAGTATCCGTGTATAAAATGAAAGTATATTGCCATAATTGATGGAAGATTAAATTCATGAGATTATATAATTATTGGTTAAATTATAAGATTTAACTTTTAATATATATATAAGGATATGTAAAAATGAATTGAGAAATTATTAATATTTTTTTATATTAATTATAACAACATAACTTCATTATACTAAGTTATTTATTCTTATCACAATAAATAACATGATCGACTTCAGAACTTAAGAGTCGTTATTTACGAAATAAATACTTGTCGAGTATTATTTAAAGACTTTACCTTTATCCCAAATTAAATGTATTAAAAACATTCTCGCAAAAATTTATATAAAATATGGGGAATGTAGATCTACGGTCGATCCAAACTGGATAAATTCAAAAATTAGCTATTATGCTAATACAACTGATAGCTTATTTTATTTCCTTATTTTTATTAGTTTATCTTAGATTTTTAGCTCTTTTTATTAGTATTGCATTGTATATTCTTTATTTTCTTTATCATGGATCGTATCGGGGGCTTGTTATGTTGCATGAGGAATTTTGCAGGGTTTTGGAGCTTTTTGTGATTGTGGATTTGAGTGAAGACGACTTAGTGGGCTCCCGAAGCATTATTGGGCTTGGCGGAATCAAAGAAGAAGAATTGGGCTTTGAAAGTTATTGGCTTGGATTATTTGGGCTTGTGAAGATGGATCATAAATTTCTAATTTTGGGCTTGGAGCATCCATTTAGTGGCTAAATGATGATTGGTGGATTCAAATTACATGGACAAGGGGGGGACCAAAGGAATCTTTGGCAGTGGAAGGGTGGAGTAGTGGAATGGTGGACCAATAGCATTCCAGCAGCATTTGCGCGGGTGGAATTTTGGCTGCGCGGGTACCCGCGCAACTGCCCAGTTTGGGTATTTTGGTCATTTGGCTTGCCATTACCTTGGGGATAAGACCTAGCAGCCACAACTTCGATTTTACACCATTGGAGACCTGTGGGAGGCGATTTTGGAAGCTCAAGACTCATTTCTCTTCATCTTTCCAATATTTTTGGTAGTTTCTTTATGCAATTAGACTTTTGTGATTGTTGTTCTATTGCCATGAGTGGCTAAACTCTTTATATTTGGTTGACTTTGGCTGAAAACCAATGAATGTTTGTGGGTTTTGAAGGATTTATGTTGATTATCAATTTATTCCATGTTTATGATTCTAGTTACAATTCTTATGCTTATTTGATGCTTTGATCATGAGCTTAGTATTTGATTGAGCAATGGTTGATTTGTTTCATTGATTTTGCATTGGATCATTGAATTTATCTAGAACAAAGGCTTTATGATGGTAGGAATCATCTCTAGCTTATGAATCATAGCTCCTTTATGGATGTGTAAGCATTTGACATCCTCTAGGAATTGGGGATTCCTTCATTCTTAAGGCTAATTGATTTCTTGGGATTAATTGCTTCAATTGACCCTTGATCTTAATTAAGAAGGTGTGTTGTGGGCTTCCCCAACCTCCATACTACCTATGAGGAATCTTGGCATATCATGCTTCATGATTGCTATAACCAATTTGGGATGAAGGATAAGCTTTGTATTAGATCCTAATGATAAACACACAAATGTTCATTGTGTTGAATTGCCTTAGTTAACCAATTATTCCCAACCTTTGAGCATCTCATCAACTTGCTTAATTGCAAGGTTTTTAGTTATTCAAGTATTTTAGTTTTCAAGTAATCAAACACCCCCCTTTTAGTTTAATTGTAGTTAGTTAGTTTAATTTCACTAGTTCTATTGAATTGCATTGGTGATTGAATACAACCATTTCCCCGAGGATCGATACCCCTTTTTACCATTATATTACGTTTATTTAGAAATCAAAGGGTGTAATTTGCTTGGTAGACTTGACAACCCACCAAGTTTTGGCGCCGTTGCGGGGGAAATTGGTTATTGTTATTTGATTGTTTATGCCTAGGTCTACAAGAACCGGGGAACTACTCTACAATCCGGAAATTGAAAAAGAAGCAAAAATGTTGAAAAAGTTAGCAAAACAAGCAAAGCAACAACAACTCGTTCAAGCTTCTTCCTCTTCTCCACTAATCAACATAGAAGATCAAGTTCACACTTCAAGTGATACCGACACCGAACCGAATTCTCCAATTGTTGGTCAATCCTTTGAAGATATTCCGTTTGAAAACTACATAGCCATGAATCACACTCCACCACACACCGATCTACTATTAATTTGGGAAAATCTCATCGCCGGAAAACCTAGCTCCACCGCCGGCCACCGTCTGTCGCCGCCGCTAATTTTGACCAAAAATTTAAAAAAAAAATTGTTTCTCACCGGAGTTTCAAAAGATTCAACCTTGTGGGTCAAATTCAAGCTTGGGGTGCGGTTTTAGCAGATTTCTTTTCGGGTTTCGACACTCGAAATTGGTACATTTCTTTTAAATTCCATTGCCTTCAAATTCTCATTCCATAGGCTTATGCTATACATTAGGTTGATTAGAAGTAGACTTAGTTTGCTTTGAATTAATTGAATTGCATTTGATTTTTCCCAAAATTGCAAGTTTGGAATATTTGCCCAATTTTTATTCTCTGATTTGATTGGATTGGTGTGAGGCGAGTGTGAGGGATAATTTTGCCCAAGTTTTTGTCTTTGCTAGGTTTATTCACCGGTACAATGGCACGGGACAAGACCATTCACGCATCTCATGGTTCATCTCGTGAAGCTCAATCCTCGGGGCCATCCAAGAAAATGTCCACCGACCATGTTGATCGTGATGGGAACCTTACCCTCACGAGTGCCCAAAGCCGAGAGTTCAAATCCAACCTTCAAAAGCGTGCAATCCGCGCCACAAAATTTTACCACCAAGATTCTATGGAGCACCTCGGCCTTGACAACCACTTGAGACAACTATTTTTCAACATTGGTTGGCACGAGTTTCTCGCTCTTTCTGCACGCACCTACAAACAACCCACACTCGACTTCCTCTCCACCTATGCCCGCAATGACACGGCGAGGGTACTCACTTTCAAACTCCAGGGTCGGCAGCACCGACTCAAGTACAAAACCCTCAACAAGCTCATGGGCACATATGACATCAACAACTCCGACATTTACAGCTACCAATGGTCTCAATTTAAAAGCTTGCCCAAAGTAGACTTTTGGACCCAAATCACGAGCCTTTCCAAGTTCAATCCCAGTCGCCAAAAAAGACCCCTTTATCATCCATCCTTGCTGGAGAATTGCCCACCGGATCCTATCCACTTCTATCTTTGCTCGTCACGAGCCGGGACAAATCAACACCGTTGAGTTATATTTTCTCTACTGCATGTCGAGCCGACGTTGGTCTTTACCCGATTTCGCCACCTTCTTTTTAGACAAATGTGACAGCCTCAGGACGAAGACCACTGGTGACATTTGTATTGGAGGTCTCATTACCCTCATTGGTTTGGGTATGGGCCTTCAATTTCCAGAATCTAAATATGTGTCAGTGGATGATCCACCTCTCTACCTTCTTGATTGCATAACTCTCACCCGGATGGAATTAATGCTACCTCATCCTACTCTTCCTGGACATTTCTCTTGGCTCAACCATGTCAAGGACCCAGTTTACATCTTGCCCAATCCAAGTATCTCCGCCTTCACCACCAATGTCCCCGAAACATGGTTCTTGCCTCAAGAGTTGCCAAATGATGATGCTGCAGCAGCGGATGATGACATGCAGGTGGACCCTGACAATGCTGATAGCCCATTCGAGGCTGAAGACCATTATGATCTCCCGATCCGCCAGTTGCCACCACCTTATCCATGTCAAGCCTCCGGGTCACACTCTCAGTCCTCGAGAGAACACTTCCAGCCACAGCATGATTATCACTCATACCAGAAACACAATGAGCCCGGCCCCGCACACGAGTTTCCTCTCGATATTTACAGTCAGCTTGCTTCCTTGCGCCTCCAGGGCAACAGGAACACCGCAGCCATCCACCGCATTGAGGAACAACAAGCACGCACCAACACTTACATGGAGGACCTTTGGTATCATTTTCAGCCCGAGGGCGGTTATCCCCCTCGCGGGCCTCCTCCATCTTGATCCCGGTATGATCCTTCCTTACTCTCATCCTAAGCATTGAGGAC